AAAAAGTCAATGTACTCATCAGCCCTGTGCTATGTACTGTGGCATCAAAAGGGAAGAGGAGTGAAGGCATGGTGGGTCCACTCATACCCGCCCCTTGACCAGCTCTACTGCAATGGGGTCTGTATCTAGACGTCCCAGCAGTCGAAAAAGTGGAAGCTCATGGCATGTATGGGAGAAGCTGAGAACAAGAGCCTGAGAAGTAGCTTCTAATGGGTAAATTCAAGGAGGAATACATCCTCAAAACGTCTGCTTTCCCTCTGTATGCCATGAATCTTATTCTGGAAAGGTGGAGTATAGCATGCATATAATGAACATATATTTCTTTTATATCCAGACAAAATAAACCTTATATTTTTAAAAGGTGGTTATGCAGGGTAGTGCTAATGGTGGTGGGAGCAGAAATCAATTGGTTAATGTCGATGGCTAAAGGCATTTATACCTCTTCTACTTAACTTGAACTGCCTTTTATTTGCAATAAAGGGGAGAGCTAGAAATGGTGAGGACCACACTTCTCGCCTTTGAGATGTATACAAGTGAGTGAAGCAATCACTGAATCAGAGTACAAGAAATAAGCTAGGACCTGGCCAGTTGGTTGGAGTCATCCTGCAAACTGAAAGGTCGCAGGTTCAATTCCTGGTCAGGGCACATACCTGAATTGTGGGTTTGATTTGTGGTCTAGGAATGTGTATGAGAGGCAACTTCTCGATGTTTCTCTCTCACATAAGTGTTTCTCTCCCTCTCTCTCTCCCTCCTTCCTCTCTTTCTAAAATCAACGAGCATGTCCTCAGGTAAGGAAAAAAAGAAAAGAAAGGAAGGAAGGAAGGAAGGAAGGAAGGAAGGAAGGAAGGAAGGAAGGAAGGAAGGAAGAAAAGCTAAGAAACAAACAATTCTGAAGGGAGAGGCAGAGGGAAGGCTTTGTGCAGAAAGTGGGAAGGGAAGGGGTATAGGTTCCCTACAGCCTTTTAGTTGTGGGATTTGAGGGCTATTTGGAAGGGACTTGACAAATTAGAAAGATAATACCTTTGTGTTATCAATGATGCAAGTTTTATTAACAAAAGAATGCCATCCACAAGATTGTATGGGAAATGGTGAGCCATTTGCCTTTTGAGACCCATCCCCCGTCCATGAGGCAGGAAACTGTGCTCCTAGAGCCAACACCTGGAAGGTGGCCTCCTTGGTCAGCCCACTGGGCCTGGATAAGCCACAGGGCTGTTTACCAAGCTCAGAAGTGAATGAGTCATGTATGTGGACTTTTGCCACCACACCTCAAAGGCTGAGGCAAAGGAGAAAGACTAGCAGCCATTCCCAGCCCCTCTCTGGGGTAGCAAATTAGCCCCTCCAGCATCCCCAGTTAGGGGACTTTTGAGTTAGTGTTCCTCAGTTGGGGGGTACCGAGGAGCTGTGGGCAGGAGTGGCTGGCAGGTAGCAGGGTGGTGAAAGTGCCTCCCTAGGCGCGCCCTGCCTCATCGCCCAATGGCAGGGCTCCACACAATGTCCTAGATGGGAGTTCTTCCCAACGGTGCCTAAAAGACAATCTGCTCACAGGTGAGTGCTGCCTGGGCAGAGGCCCAGGTCGGGCCTGTCAGCTGGAGTCCTGGTGCTCTCCATTCGGCTGCTTTGGGAGAGGACAGGTGGCTAACTTGTCCAGTCTAACCTGCCTGGCACCTTGTCCAAGTGCTCTGGGCCGACTGAAACTCTTTTCCTCTTTCAGTAAGAGCTAGAGGCGGGGCGGGGTGAGAGGAAAGAGCAGTCATCTGGCCGCACCCTGGCTGTGGGAGGTGTTTGCAAACACTCCCGGAATTCCGTGAATCTTTAGGGTCCACCGCCCCAGGACCAACAACAGTGAGTCTGGAAAGTGGGGAGAAGACAGACTCTTACTCCAGAGTGGTCACTGTGTGAATCTTGAGGGACAATGTGCTCTGACTGGAGGAGGGGAGAAAAGGACCACTCAGGAATCCAAGGCGCAGTAGCCAATTCCCAAACATGCCCTGTTCTGGAGCTCCTGGCATCTCTCTCCTCTAAGGAATGTCTAATTCCTGCCTCTGGTGAGCCCTGCTCCTCTGAGTTCACCCTTGCCACTGCCCAGCATCTACAGAGAAGGTTCTTGAACTCGATTTCTCAGGGATTTTTCCAGGCAGCCTTGCGTTCCCCCAACCTACCACCTCTGCTTTAACCACAGAACCTATTTGTGTCTGACAGAAACCCAAACACGTGAGGTCACTGGTACTATCATTTTTCCTCCCTTCCCGCCTTTGCCCTCTAATCCTTTCCATGAATGGAAGGAATGCTTCGTGTCATACTCAGGCTGTGCGGCTCTCCAGGTAGGTTTCATTCCTGACTCTGTTGTGAGGGCTGTACTAACAGTGCGAGAGTGGGGGGTGGGGAGGGGAGGCCAGAGTTGAACAACTTCACTCCCAGTCAGTTTTGACCCTGAATCTCTGACTTGTCTGGCTGGGATGTAGTGGAACAGAAGACAGGTAAGACAACCAAGAAGGAAGACTATTCCTCATTTAATGCAGTACCAACACAGAATAGACACCAAGGGTGGATAACGGCTGGGAGAGAATGGGGCTGCAGGCAGAGGAAAATGAAAGAAGGTACTTGGCTGGACCTGCCATGCGATTGGCTGCTGAACTACTTCACCTGCCTTACAACCTACAACACAGCCTGATCAAGCCACTGCTCAAGATCCTCTGAAGACCGGCTCACCTCGTCTAACACTGTAGTATAATCTCCTTAGCTTAGAGTTCATGATTTGCATGATCTGGACCCACCTTCCTTGGCTGTCTTATCTCCACCACCTGTCTCCGGCACCTTCCTAAAATAGCCCACATTCCATCCCCAATGATACTCACAATCCCTAAACATGACAAGAACTCGCCAGACCCCATCCCTTGCTAAGGCTGCTCTATTCTCTCCTGAAATGCTCTTCCTCCATCATCTTCTCTGTCCATCAAATCTGGTATATCCTTTTAGACTGAGCTCAACACTACTTCCTTCATAAATCCATTTGCTTAGAGAAATCACTGTCTCCTCAAAGCACCCGAAGCATTATATTAATACAGGACTTCTTTTATAGCATTTGTCATTCCTTGGAACAGAGTCTCTTTGGAGATAGCACCAAGCACAAAATAAGTTCTCAATAAATCTTTATGGTAATGACTAGAGCCATGAGGTTGAATGAAGTTAATAGGTGGTCAGGAAGGGGAAATAGCACAAAAACAACAGAGTTCTATTAAGCTTTCCTGCCACTTACGTGCCTGGTGCCTCCTTTCCTTTTCCCTTCCGATCACATTACATATTTATAACGTGCTAAATAGGCTTTTCCCACACCATAGCTGCCCTCAGCGTCAAACCTGAGGCATAATGTCTGTTTTGTATTTTCCTACATGGTAAGAGAGAACATTGTGTACTCATGGTTGGCTGGAATAACCTGCAACTCTTCAATTCCATAGCACTTTCCAAGGACCTACTTACCGTGTACCCAGCTTTCGGCGAGGGGCTGTGGAGGAGACAAGTCAAAGAAGTCACCACCTGGTCCCTATCCTGAAGAGGGCTACCAGAAACCAAACCTTGGAGAAATCTGAGTGAGACCTTGCGGTGGGCAGGACTTGGCTAGGCAGAGAGGTTGTGGGGCCAGCCACAGGACAGCCAAGTGCTAAAGGCCTGAAGGTGGGAAGATGATCTAGGCTACAATTTGTTCAGGAGCCAGAGGAGAATGATTCAGTGTGGGGTCAAAATAGGAATGCCCTTAAGTCTCTAAGTCCGAAGTTAATACAGGTGATGCAACATTGCAGAATTTCAAGTAGGCTAGTTAGGGCAACAATATGCAGTGTGGACTGGAGGGAAGAGAACCTAGAGATGGGGGGCCTGGGGGGATACTAGTAGCAATGCAAGGTGGGGGTTTTGAGGACCTGGAAGAAGCAAGGGGTGCAGCAAAAACACTGGATGAGAGTCAGGACACCTGGGTTCTAGTCCTGGCTCTGTTGTGGGGCCTTGAACCAGTCACTTCTCTGCTCTGGCAAGGCCTTAACTGTAAAACCTAAAAACCATCAAAGTGGCTATTCCAATCTGAAGATCCACAGTTAGTTGAGCCTTTGAAGCAGGGTAATGGGAATGAAGGTAATATGCCAATCTATTGGACATTTGGAACACGGAAGGGACTCACTAGGAGTCCAGTGGTAAAGAGCAGGGGGAAGCCGAAGAGGGTCCAGCAGGAAGAAATGGGGAAATGGGGATGGGTGGAGCGTCTGCTCCTGACGTCTGGTTTGGCAATCGGTTTTCAGTTCCCCCTTTCTTCTCCTCCCCTAACTTAGCCTCTTAGCCTCACCATATTTGGTGAGGGCAGGGCAAAATAGAACACCCCACACCACCTCACACCCCCTCCAACTTTACCTTCCCCTTTTCAGGCTTTGAAATGATCCTTCTCTTTCCCCACCCACCTGGCACCATCCCAGCACCCACCGTCCTCCACAGTAACCACCTGGACTGCCAAAGTAGAAAGAGCAGTGAATTTGGGATCATGTTCATTATTCCTTTCATAGCTAGCGTTTGTTAAGCACTCACCGCGTCCCAGACTACATTATTTTTTTACAGCAATTCTAGGAGATGATTGTTAACTCATTTTACAGGTGGAGAAACCGAGACCAAAGGTGTTTTATAATCTGTGCAAAGTCACACATGCCAGTGGGCAATGCCAGATTGGAACTGAGGTCTGGCTCCCAAGCCAGTTCTCTGTCCAGTTCCGGTTGGGCGGTTGTGGATTCATTCCATCCTTCACCTACCTACCACCTCACAGACCAGAATCCCCCAAGCCCCGCCCCCTGAGCTCGCTGTGCCGGCCCCGCCCCCGGCGCTAGGGGCCCAGCGGGGCTCGCGCCGTGGCAGGTGTGGCGGCAGCGTGGGCGGGGCGGGGCGGGGCGTCCGGGGGAGGCGGGCCCAGGCGGGGGCGTGGCCGGAAGCCTTAAAGTGGCCGGGGCTGCTGGGCTGGCTTTAGAGGCCGCGGATCGCGGCGATCTTCTCGCTCTCGATCCGCGCACAGAGCTGTCACCATGTCCCTGGCGGCTTCAGCGGGCCGGGGCCCGGGAACCGTGTGGTCCCCAACACACGTGCAGGTGACGGTGCTGCAGGCGCGGGGCCTGCGGGCTAAGGGCCCTGGGGGCACTAGCGATGCGTACGCCGTGATCCAGGTGGGCAAGGAGAAGTACGCCACCTCGGTGTCTGAGCGCAGCCTGGGCGCGCCGGTGTGGCGGGAGGAGGCCACCTTCGAGCTGCCGCCGCTGATGTCCGCCGGGGCTGGGCCCGCTGCTGCCGCCACCCTGCAACTGACCGTGCTGCACCGCGCGCTGCTCGGCCTCGACAAGTTCCTGGGCCGCGCCGAGGTCGACCTGCGGGAGCTGCATCAAAACCAGGGCCGCAGGAAGACGCAGTAAGTGCGGGCCGCGGGAGAGGACCAGAAGCTGAGGCGCGGGCAGTGCGGGGTGGCCTGGGCGCTTAGATCCATTTAGAGTGATCAGGTCGCCAAGGCGCTGCTGTGTCTCCAGGGGATGGACAGAGAGAGACAGTTCAAGAGGGATCCCTGGAGCGATAGTAGTATTTTCACCTAGCTTCAAGTTCTTCGGCTGTCCCTGCCCAGCTCTCCTGGAATGTGGGCTCTGAAAGCTGGGAGGGGTACCTGGGGCCATTTTCAATCTGCAGGACCTCGCTCAGCGCCTGGAATTTAGTAAGCACTTCATGAATTTTTGATGAACTGAAAATACATGTGGGCTGAAAGTTCCTGCTATTAGTGTGGGTAGTGTGTATATTTGATATATGTATTAATTATGTGGAAAGCCTCGTAGGTATTTTATTGTACTGGTCCAGGGCTCAGAGAGGATTAACTGGAGGAGTGAAACCCACCGACACCCCCTGACTTCAGAGCCTCATCCAGGGACGGAGCAGGGGTATTACAGCGTGGGGTGGGTGGAGGAGAAGGCCGGGAATGGGGGAGTGCAGGTTGCCGGGTGATGGCTATCTCCTACCCCTACCTCACCACGGCCTCAGGGATTGGTGAAGAGAATTTGTCCCTCCCTTCCCCCCGTTCCTCCCCAAAGAATGCTAGAACAGTTTCATCTTAACCTTTAGACCGAAAAATATTAACCCTGTTTACCTGGGCTCCAAATTAGTTTGAATTTCCCAGTGATGGCGGGAGCTGGGGTCTGCCCTTGGCTAAGCTCAGCAGGGAGATAGGCGTTGTTTTTCTTTGGAGTTTGTCAAGTTCTGTCCCAGCCTTGCTCCACTAGATGGCTGTTCACCTGTAGCTCCCAGTCCAGGGTATCTCCTGCAGGGAAAGCTGGGCAAAACCCAGTTCACTCCAAGATTTTACCCAGTTATTTGTTCTCTTTCCCACGTGTTTATAATGGAATATGATTATGCTCATCTAGTATACCAAAACCTATACCTCGCTTAGCTTACTTGACTACTTGCTGGACGTTACATATGCAAGTCAATCATGTTACCACCTGGCCCCTACAGTTTATGATTCACATTTTGTGTTTTAGATAGAAACATATTTTAACTTTCCCTTGTGAAGGAGACAGGAAAAGCTAGAGGGTTTGAAGTTACCAGACTCCTTTTTCTGTAGGGTGGGTCCAGTTTCAATGTGCATGCTTGCAAATAGAATACCTGATTCGCTTATCTGGCCAAGATGAATAGGCATTTCTGAACTCAAATCAGATAAAAACAGAGAGCCTTGAGGTGCGGATGGATGGGGTATCTCCATGGCATCAACTTACAAGCCATAAGGTGAGCAGTGTCTTTGCTAAGGAGGGGCTGAAGCTATGCTCTTTTTCATTTTATTAAATGATGTTTGGGACCTTGGGTTGGCTTGCTTTCCAGCTCCAACTGGGTGCCATTAGCAGTCCTTTGGTCGGTCCCAACCCAAAATGTGTGGATATTATCATCTGTCTCTACCATCTGTTTCTTAGGGGAACATTTTATTCCCGTGAAGGATAGAGTGCATCTCCCTGCCAGAGATGGGGGCTCCAGATTCCAGGGTCGGGGGCTCACTGTGGTCCTGACTCATTGCTGGGCTTCAGGCTGCTTGGTCCGTCAACACCCGTTTCCCTATTTATGCCTGGAGCTTGTTGCCTGACTTAATTAATGTTTGTATGCTGTTTCTGGGTTCCTGGATTAATGGGGCCTGTGCATAGATTTAAAAAGTTCTGTTACTGTTTTGTGAGGAATGAAAACCTCCCTAAGCTCCCTATTTCAGGAAGGGTTTAGTCTTTGCATCTTCATTTTCATCCTCTCCAATGTAATCCTAAACCTAGATGGTCACTCCTGTCTCTATTATATGAGTTGATTACCACTTAGTCACAATATCAGCTTGTAGGAAAATGGTGCTTAGTCGATACTTTTTTTTTTTTTTAAATAACTGCAGACGAAGCCTTCTTTGCTTCTTTAGTAGGAGGTGAAACTACAAGCTTTCCATCTATCACTTCCTGGGACTTTCCAAGGTGCTGGGGGAACCCGGTTAAACAAATTGTCTGATGCCGGGATACATCACATGGGCCCTCAAGATAGCTGGGATTTGGAGAATGAGAGGTGGAATTTTAACAGAAATTGGTTGGGCTAGGAAGTAATTTGGACTAGTTATTAATGGTTTGACTCCACCTTAGACACTAAGAACCAGAAACAAAACGAAAACTCAAATCTTGGTCTATTGGTTTGTGTATGTGTGTGTGTTCATCTCTAGCAAAGAAGATTGCTGCTGTAGAGTAGGACTTTCATCATAGGTTGAGAAGCTGAAACCCAAGGCTTTTAGAGCTGACTGTGCTAACGTTTGCATTTGTTATTTTGATAAGCTCTCATCTATCTTATCTTTGGAGTCAAGAGAATATGCTTTTTAGAATGACTCAGGTTTTGTGGACCTTGATTTTAGTGTGATGACACACATTTTTAAAACACCAAATGGGCTGCCATATAGGATAGGATACATTTAATATCTATACATTAATAAATGTATATACATTTAATATCTATACATCTAATAAATATACATTTAATAGTGCACAGCTCCTTTACTTAAGAAGAAATAGAAATGAGTTGGTTCTGTACTTGTACGTATCTATTGAGACCTGGGGTCTCAGCCGGGCCTTGGTTAGATGGGGACCAGTTAAGTCTCATGGTCATAAAACGGACTTGTATCTGAGAGACAGAATCAGGTGACTAACTGGTAGTGTTCTCTGCTCAGTTCTCTAGTCTCCTGTGGTTTGGATTCTAGACTGATTAAAAAAACACTTTTTAGGATACTAAGAGCAACAAAATTTGGGGAAATTATCTGTTGAAGATAGATTCAAATTATTCACTCAGGCTGCTGACTGGAAGGCTGTTGTATAGCTAGACTGTTCCTCTTAATCCCGGAATAGTCTTCCAGATATGAAGAGAGTGAGTGAATGGTGGAAAGTCATTTTCCTATACCTCTTTAGGATTTAAGAGGGAATTTGGTTGTATATGAAAGGATTTGGGTACTAATAAAGGTTAACTGTTTTGAAGAACTGTAAGTGTAGAAGGGTGCTGTCATAAGTTGTCAAAGGAAATTTGGGTTATTAAAAAGAAATAAGGACTAGAGAGTTGTTTTCCTGGGAGAGTTGGATGCAGGGAAATGACTTAAGAGATGTATAATTCACAAAATATAAACAGTCCGTATGTGTGCTTATACCTTTAGGTTTCCTAAGCATACTCTTAAGTTTTTTTGTAATAGATTGGAAAATTTGAGCAACACTGGTAAGGTTTCCTTTCTTGGGATTCCCCTTAAAGATAACATTGGGCCTTACTGGAAACCCTCCTACCTCTCACCCAGCTATAGTCCCTTCCCACTCCAGTGCAGGAAACTGATATCTCAATGCCCAAGAGAATTCTCTGTCAACTGAGGGATAAACGCTAATCTGCTTATGGTAATGGAGCGAAATGACTAAGAAGGCGGATGTGCCTCAGAGTCATTTTTCTGGTGCTATTAAAGACGTTCCGTGGTGTGTTTTCATTATTTGATTATAATTTTACTTGTAAGACATTCAGTTAGCATGGGGAAAATTCTAACTGCTTTGCTGCCCTTGTCCTTAAAGTTTATCCCTACTTTTCATAAATATTTTTTAATACCAACTATGTGCCAGGTACTGGGTATACATTGTAAACAACAATGACCAGAACAGATATGATTCCTGCTTTAAGGAAGCTCAGAGCCTTGGGCAGTTGGTGGTGGTGGTGGAGGGTATAGACGTTAAACAAACGAACACGTAAATAAGTAATCATGTATTATGGTAAGTACTGTGTAGGAAGAGAACAGGCTATCATAAGAGAAAAGAGTGGGAAGGACATGATTTAAAGAAGATTGCAGATAGCCTCTCTGAGGCAAAGACCTGAAGAATAAGGAGGCGTTTTTTCTAGTGACAAGTAGAGGAGGGAGGGCCGATGGGAAAGAGGGATATCGTTTGTGCAAAGGTCCTGAAGTAGCTAGAGAGATTGTGTAGGTTGAGGCTGAAGAGGAAGCCAGGGCTTTATTCAAGAACAGTGGGAAGCCACCTAGTATTAAAAGCAAAGTGGTGGTGTAAACCACTTTGTCAAAAATCACAGTGGCTGTTGGGTGGCAAATGGCTTTGAAGCAGGCCTAGCTTGGAACCCAGCAAACAAAATGGGGGGAGGGCACCGCAGTAATCCAGGTGGCCAACGCTGGTGGCTTGGACTAGGACGATGGCTGTGGAGATGGACAGAGGTGGATGGGTTTCAGAAATACCCTTGAGGCTCAGGTCGCTTAGCTTGTGATGGATTGGATGTGACTGGGGGCGGGTGAGAGGGAGTGATAAGAATGAGCAAATAAAATAAGGAGAGCTTGCTGTTGAAAATGAACCAGGAAGTGGTGGCTGCTTTCTTTTCCCAACAGTCACTGGGATAGGGTGAGGTCACCATCACAAAGACAGTTTTGGGCAGTGACACCTGTGAGGTGAGTTGAGTCTGCTGCTGGAGTGCATTAATAGGAAACACTATTAAAACTAGGGTGTGTATATGTGTGTCTTCAAGTATTTACGGTTTTAATACAGGCCAAGTCTTTGTTTTGTAAGAGCAAAGCCGATGTAGTTTTACTGGTGCGTTCCAACACAGCTGATAAAGTCACTGCTTCAAGGAATATAGGATTAAGAAAAGGAAAAATAATATGTAAATTAAAAAAAGTAAACCCATACATGGAAAATAAAACTCTGGAGGCAAGTAAGTCAATCATTTAAATGTTTTTCACATTAGGGAATGGAAGTGTATGAGAGCCCTGTGCCTTTTTCTTTTTGCTTAAACTTCCTTTTGGTTACAAAGACTTCTATTGTATTTCTACAACTACTATCAGCAGGAAGGTTTTTATAAATAGTATCCGTCATTTTAATTGTAGCTATTAACTAAAAA